CTGGGCCAGTGAGTGGACCCTGTTTCTCCACCCCCAGCGCCCCCATATGCTCGAGACATGCTTTCTGCATCTGTGGTTGAGACGCAGCTGAGATGGGGCCCTGTGAATAGTAAAGCTTTAATATGCCTTATGATAAATTCTTGTGTGGTCACACCCAGGTCTTTTTGTATCTGTAACAGCCCGTCTTCAGCACACAGACTTTCTCATAAAAACATAAGGCAAAGCATAGCGCTTTACTTTGTAACACTGCAGCTCAAATATTTTTACGTTCTTCTCTTTTATTCCAAGTGTGAAAATTCATCACTGAAAGTCACTGGAGGAAAAAAAAAAAAAGGACCAGAGCTGGGGTCTTGCTATCGAAAGTTGAAGGTGACATCCACTGCTGACTTTAATGAACAGTTAATAAAGAATTTATTTATTGTAATACCTCATAGACATTGTACCAGGTCACATACATTTAGGACCTGCCTGTGGCTGGTAAGATAATGTGATGATCCATCCCGTGTCCAGTGAGACTGAGTCTGATCTGTTCATGAATAGTGGGAGCAAAGTCTTGTGCTATATTCCTGATCAAAAGACTTCTGAATATATTGGAATAACACTTTTTTAGTAAGCAAAATATCTTTTTATTTGATCCGCAATTTGGAATTTTTTGTTTCATGTCTCAGATTTCTTTTGTATTTCTTTTTTAACATCCAACATTTCCCTTGTGTTTTTTAACTCACGCTTATGCGCTCTTTGTACAGTTTTAAAAAGTAATAAATACCAACATATCAAAATGGTTCATTTTATTTTTCTTGTTTTTCATCATGTATTTGGCTTGCAGTATTGCAATTACCAAAGGGGGCCAGGAGGGAATGTGAGCACATGTATAGGGTAACCAGACATTTTTGTATTGTTTTCATTATGAAATAGCATCTTTCTTATCAAAAAAGTGTGAGACTCTTATTTTGAATCCACAGTCTGAATCATTGCCATCATTCTCCTTGTGTGACTAATTTGCATTAAAATAAACTAAATTATATTGTGAACTCTTTCTTTCCAGCATGAATATTTCCCTTAATGCTTCATGCGAAGACACTGTGTCTCTTAGTTTTCTTTCCTTATTCATTGTGTTCTTCAAGAAAAACTCAGTTGTGAGTACTGACTGGGGCTGGTTTGGCTAGAAAGTGACCTTTGTGCAGGTCGGATCAGGTCTGGTCCCCCCACCCACCCCCCGCACAATTACCTGATGTGCATGTCTTCTGTGGAGCCTGGCTCAGCCTGACTCTACTGAACGCACTGAGATGACTCAGCCTGTGACATCCAGTGACATAGTTGAACTCAGGGCCTCTCTATGTCTGTGTTCTTGTGAGGAAAGACGCACCTGCTGTTGTGTCGACTACAGTCTACCTGTGCTAGTAGCTTCACGGCAAGGATCTCGTGTTACCCTTCCTACACTGACAAAATGAGACTGAAAATGGAAGCCTCAGTAAATCACCTGCCACGGAAAAGCGCAGATCCTGGTGGAATGTCGGGAATCACTTAGTGCTACTACAAGGAGTGTGCATGCTCTTTCCTTCAGAACAGTGTCATCGGAGTGGACTGAGGGAGCAGCATCTCGACAGTCCTGGTCATACAATCCCAACTCACATAGCAGCTACTTGGAATGAACTCAGTATAAAATAGGGGACCCTCACCCACAGCCTGAGAGTATGTTTGACAGCAGGAGCATGCCTGTGTGATGGATATGTTTTTTCTATTAGCTGTGGCCTTTAGGAAGTGAGCTAGTTGGTTGTGGTTTAACTGTCCTTATTTGATCTTACAACACCCAAAGCCAATGCTTGCAGAGCCCCAACCAGCAGGGACCGGTTTGACTTCAAGCATTTTCCACGAATCAACCACATTTGAGAGAGCACATAGATAAAACAAGCCTGAGAAAATAGAACACCATCACCACACCAGGGCCCTCCTGCCACCCACAATATCTCCAGCACCACCACCCTCCCACTCTCTGCACTTCCCAGTCCAGGGCAGCTCAGGGCCAGTTGGGGAAGGGAGTTGGAAGCCACAGGAGACATTGCCTAGGAGCCCCAGCAGTGACATCAGCCCACAGAGCTGTAGGTCATTTGTTAGTTTCCCCTCTGTGTCTCTGTGCTTTCCACATGTGAAACAGGTTCAGATCTCTAAGTAGAAGCCAGGCATTTGTCCTAAATAAGTCTGATCACATTCTTGAGAATCAATGAATAGAACAAAATTAAATTTCCACTTTCTTGTATCTGATGGGTCTTAACGTTGTTTCCACATGGGAACCTCTACTTGGTTTCCAACAGAACCTGTTTCACAGAAAATAAAGCTGATTTTAAGTAAAAAAAAAAAACAAAAAACTTCCCAATTTTATTTTATTTTGAGATTTTATTTATTTATTTATTTGACAGAGAGAAGGGTCACAAGCAGGCAGACAGAGACAGAGGGGGAAGCAGGCTCCCCGCTGAGCAGAGAGCCCGATGGCTCAATCCCAGGACCCTGAGATCATGACCTGAGCCAAAGGCAGAGGCTCAACCCATTGAGCCACCCAGGTGCCCCTCCTTCCGAATTTTAAATGAGGTCTTGTTTTATTCTAATATATAAAAACTTCTACTTTAAAAGGATTCATTAGAAAAGAAGGAAAACAACCACTTATTTGTTCATCTACTGACCATACATTGAACATTTTGTTTTATACTCATGTTTGAAGAGACACACACACATACAAATGAGTGTCATACTTGTTAGTATTATTACTCAATAGAAATTGTGGTCAAGGGACTGAATGAATATTGCACACACAATATAAAAAACTCAAAAAATGAAAAGATGGTTATCTTCATCAGAGACAAATTCAAAACATGGTGGAATACTGTTTTTCATGTGTCAGATTAGCAAAATCCTGATGTTTGGCAGCAGTGTCCTGACATTCGTCTACATTGTGGTAGAAATGCATGATGGTGCATCTCTATCAGGTAAGCTGACAGTACCTAGTAAAATGACCAGTCCACATGTCCATAGTGACATAAAGCATATATTGACATAAGGCAATATTATAATTTCAGCATATTTTATAATAGTAAAAGATTGGAAATAATCCATTGGTCTATCACAAGGAACTGACCTTATAATGTCTCTTAGAAAGTTTAGAGTCACCTGTAAAATACTTTGGAGCTAAGTGTCCCTGTATACTGACATATAAAGAGCTCAAGGATACATAAATGAGAAGTGCAGAATATTGTATGTTGTACACTCCCTTTGTGTTAGAAGGAAGAAAATTAGTTCGTGTGGATTTGTTTTTTATATGTACATTCATATTGCATAAATAAAAAATTGGAGGGTTGCACAAGAAACTAAAGTGTGACCTGTAAGTGCTGGGGAGGTTGATACAGTGGTTGAAGGAAGATTTCCTGTTTCATTTTTAGAGTGTTTTGATTTTGGAACCATGTGAAGTTGTACTCTTAAGAATTTTAGAAGGGGGGCGCCTGGGTGGCTCAGTGGGTTAAAGCCTCTGCCTTGGGCTCAGGTCATGATCCCAGGGTCCTGGGGTCGAGCCCCACATCAGGCTCTCTGCTCAGCGGGGAGCCTGCTTCCTCCTCTCTCTCTGCCTATCTGCCTACTTATGATCTCTGTCTGTCAAATAAATCAATAAAATCTTAAAAAAAAAGAATTTTAGAAAGGTCCTGGCATGCATAGTTCTTCAGCAACACTTTCTGATTAATTTTACATTTCTTTGACAACCTATATTTTTTGTAGATGCATACTACTCCATCATATAATATCGTTTAATTATTTTTTAGTTTCTTACTGGGCATTTGAGTAAATTTGGGACCTTTGTGAATGGTACTGTGGTATCACACATAAATCTTAATGCATACCTTTTGTATGTGCGGGGGGGTGGGTGGGTGTGTTAGCTATTATTTCTAAAGTAGAGCTGCCAACAGTAGATGCTAATGCTGCTTAGGACTCCCATGTATCCCCAAAATTAACTCTTCTCATCCACACAACCCCAGGAGACCAGGACACATTGTAACTCCATTTGACAGATGAGAAAATAATGGCACAGAGATTCAAATAGCTGTAGACCAAAGATTTCAATCCAGGCACTTGGGGTTCAGAGTCCGAGCACTTGACCCCTCCCCCACCCTACCTTTCCAGTGTTAGTACCGCTGTCTTGGGATTCTTGTGAGATCAGGAATGTGGTGCCCGTGACACACTGGGACAGGTCTGAGCACACCCACCAGTCATGAGACAGGTTATACTGTCACCACTGGAGCGTCTTTAACCAAATGAGTGAATCTGCTGACCTTTGAAGGAGAAATACCAGGGCACCTTCACTGGCTGTGGCTCTCTTGCAGCTGGTGCCCCCAAAGAAGGCATCATAAGGACTACCTCAGAGAAAAAATTAGAAATGTGGAATTGACCGTTATTACAATCACTGCTGAATTGGAAGGCTCAGTTGTCATGCTGTCCCTCACCTTGGACTCTCAGGTTGCACCAAGTGAAAGTGCACAGAGGCCAAAGTAGACATTTAATTGTTTTTATTGTGCCTATTTTGTAAAACAGTACAAAATTCAGGTAGCAAAGATTGCAGCTTATGTGTAGAATAAAAGGCTTCTTTTATTCTTTTATTCTTTGGATGTGCAGAATAAAAGTCTTCCTGGCAATTATCTGGTTAAAGAGCCCCAGGGGACAGAAGCTGCATGCTGGCTGTACTCAGGCACGGGGACTGGGTGGCTGAGGAGCTGGTGGACATTAAGGAGAGAGTGGTGTTGAAGACACTGTGGATGCCCCATAGCCCCGCCTCTGCATCATGGCAGTTGTTCTTGCTGCAGACTGAAAATTTCTGTTTGCCCAGTGATTTGTAAACCCGTTCTGCAGAAATGACACAATTGAAAAATGCATGTATGAACTGAAATAACGCAAACCAAGAAAGAAAGATTTTTAACAACAATAGCCAATGGAGAAAAGTGGATCCTTGGTGCCACCATGTGCTAGGAACTCTTCCCATTGCCACGGAGTGCTGGTCTCCCAAACAGATAGATGGTGATGATGGTGGAGTAGATCAGGCTCTTGAAGTAGAGGAGGAGGTAGGTGTAGCAGGCAGAGGTGGTCTTGAGCTGTTGCTGCAGGGTGGCTAAAAGAGGTCATTTATTAGTTTCACTTTTTTTTTTTTTTGAAAGACCAGGTCTTATTAATGGGGGGGGGGGGGGGTCACATTATACATTTCTGAATATCTAGGTTGAAGGGACACCCCCACCACAAAACAACCAGAGAGTAAACATCTATCCACCATTGCCACCAAGACAACTCAGAATCCAGCTTGTACATGAAGTCAAACAACAACCTCTGGGAAATTCACTTAGAACATTCTCAAGTATTAAAAAGTAAGATTAGGTCTTAGATGGATGAGTCAACCTGAAAAAAGCACTGGTGGTAGGCAGCTTTTATCATTTCTTCACTCCTACCATGTCTGTAAATAATAATAATAACACTTATGCTTTAACCACTAACTAAATGACAGATATTTAATTTTAGAGGTTTGTGTGCAAAGCTCTAATCTTATTTAAGTTCTCCATATCTATGAGATTATTTTCATTTAAATTTCACAAATAAATTGAGAACAGAGAACTAATTTGCCTGATGTCAAACAGTAAGTACCAAAAGCCAGATTTTATCCCAGCAACATAATATTCAAGAACACATTTACCTACTCTGTAATTCTGAACTTCCACATTCAATAAACAACCCTGACAACAAAGAGTTAAGCATGAATTGCTGATTTATTTTTATTTTTATTTATTTTTTAAAAGATTTTATTTATTTATTTGACAGACAAACCACAAGCAGACAGGCAGCCAGAGAGAGGGGGGAAAGCAGACTCCCTGCTGAGCAGAGAGCCCGATGCGGGGCTCCATCCCAGGACCCTGGGATCATGACCTGAGCAGAAAGGAGAGGCTTTAACCCACTGAGCCACCCAGGCACCCCTGAATTGCTGATTTAGAATCATCTCAGCCATTACATATTGTGCATCAATGAGATTCCTATCAAGGGTACAATCAATGGAAATTTGATTGTGTTCATAGTAGGTTCATGGTTGATTGTGTTCATAGAGGGTAGATCAGTAGGGCTAGAGTCAATGGTCCTAGTCACATTCTTTGTACATATGCAAGGAGAAAGGGCTAGAAACCAGTACTTACAATGTATCATCTAAATGAAATACCCTATGCTAGACATTCCACCTATTTGACATCATATCTTCAGTAACAGAGTGAAGTGTTACTCATGTTATTCCTCGTTGGCTCAGAAAATGTTAACTACTGTACCCATATTCGTGCAACTAATATTTAAAAGGCTGTTGTTAATGTCTAGTCTGTGGCACTTGAAGCCCTGCACTCACTGCTCCCCATCCCATGTGTACACCTGTCTCAGGGCCTTAGCTTTGGGATTTCTTGCTCTATGATTACATCATAGAAGAAGAATAGAAAACTGAGTGTGTGGATTGTTGATTCAGAAGGTCTGGGTTGAAGCCCCAGATCTCGCTGTGTGGCACGGTTCAAGGGACTTAATTAATTTCAGTTCCTTGCTCTCAAGTGTAAAATGGGAATAAAATCCTTCACAATGAGTGTTAAGAGAATTAAACAAAATGCACTCATGGTGCAGCATAACACCTTCTGTATGAGAACCTCTTGGTGTTCATGTTATTAATCACCAGCAAGAACAAAGATTTAAAAAAGCACTAGAAGCAACTTAATACCAGGTTTCCTTAATCAGAAACAAAGGCCCCAGAAATGAAGTCCATTGTTGAAAGAATTCAGATCACATCATTGTACCCCTAACTTATAGTCCTCTCACACCCAAATAGCATTTGCTGTGTGAAGATGACTTCACATATCACTCAGTCTCTTTTGCAAGATCCAGCTATTCTGAGGTTTCTACCTGAAGCCAGGGGAGTTCAAAAGTTAAGTTGATCAGGAAGAAAAAATGCTACAGCATAACATAAAGACAAACATAGGCAAAAACTTACCGTCTTCGGGGCACCTGGGTGGCTCAGTGGGTTAAAGCCTCTGCCTTCAGCTCAGGTCATGATCCCAGGGTCCTGGGATCGAGAGCCCCGCATTGGGCTTTCTGCTCAGCAGGGAGCCTGCTTTCCCTCCCCACTCTCTGCCTGCCTCTCTGCCTACTTGTGATCTCTGTCTATCAAATAAATAAATAAAATATTAAAAAAAAACAACTTACCATCTTCAATTTTTGTAGAATCAATAGCAGTGAGCTCTAAAATAAATGAGAGCAAGTATTATTCAAATGTTCATATCTACTATTAGACAAGTGTCTGTGTTGTGGATAGATGGATAGGTAGATGATAAATAGATAACAATTAGTAAACAGAGAGGAGAGATCCATTGCAAATATGAGCCCCACAATTCCTGAAATGTTTGGTCTGATTCTTTGTAATTCAGTAGATCAATTCATATATTGTATTTCTGCACATGAAGTTCTGCTGATCTACCCCCCATGTCCAAACTCGAGGGGCCTGTGGACCTTAACTAACATATTACCGGGCCAAGGGCAAGGAGTTATGAGTACAGCACCACTCAAGGTCGCTTTCCAGGCTAAGGGCTAATGATTCTGAATTTCTGATTCTTTGGAGATAAACACATAAAAGAAATTTCTGTATGAACAGACTCAGCTTGATCATTCATTGAGTAGCCAACTTGTCCCACCATTGTTAGCACTAATTATTTCTTGACATCACGTATTTCCTAAAAAAGTTCAAAGAATAATAAATGCAAATTATCATATAACACCGTGGCTAAAATGAGGGTACTCAGGAAAGACAAGGGAGTGAGTTTGACCTCCTAAAGTTGCAGAAAATTTGGTATCGGCCCTTTCTTGCACTTTATTTTATTACTTTTAAAATTATTATTTAAATTCCAGTTGGTTAACATATAGTGTAATATTAGTTTCAGGTGTACAATATAGTGATTCAACACTTCCATACATCACCCAGTGCTCATCACAACTAATGTCCTTTTTACTAAAATCTCCCACCCAAGAAAGAATACTTCTTTCTCAATCAAGCTTGGTTGAAAGCTTGGGCCAGATAGTTTTAGCTCTTCAAAATCACTTCATCGATTTGGGCTTCCATGTTCTATATATTTTTAGTTTCATCAAAAACAAAAAGAACAAACAAGAAAGAGCATTAGAAATTTGCTGAGGAAAGACATTAACAAAATGGCCTCACTAGCTTTTTTGCTATGAGAAGACCTTGGGAGACATTCCTTTCATAATTTAATTCCCAAGTAAAACACATCATAAATAAGAACTTCTCCCTTTGTTATAATCATCACCATGGAATGTTACTATAGTATATTTTTACATTGATCAGTATAAAAATCAATACCTAAAGGACTTCAGTCCAGTGGTTACATTAAACTTATGCTTAGCTCATTTGCCTCCTCTCTGTTTCTTAGTTGTAGAAATAAAAAGAATTCAGACTGTTTTCAGTATCACTTTAGTTATTTTAGGGAAGAATATACATAAATACAATAAATATATGAATAAATGTATACATGTTACGTCTTCAAAAACAAGCATTTTCACTGACATTATTGCACTTCTTCTTCACCACAAGGGAAGATAACTGTTCCACCCCAATTTGATTGTTAGAAAAACTAAAGATCCAAGAAGATAAAGAATCACCTCAGCAATTCAGAGAGGTATACCGCACATGTCTTTGCACATCTTGTTAGTGTTTGTTCCCTGCTGCTTCCCAAGGGCTTGTAAACCGCAGCGAAAAGTACAAACTGGTTCCTTCTTATGGGCCCTCTGGGTCTTGGTCTGTGATGTTAATGCTAGCACTTCACTGAGTCTAGTGGGTTACTGGATCACCGCAGGGCCAGGGCGCATTCAGCCGTCTGCCCACACTGTCTAAATATATCCAGTATCCGCACCAATGAGTTTCATTTGGGACACCATGCCTGAATCACAAGTGACCCAGAGTGATTAGGAAAAGCATGTTCTCTCTACTGTAGTGATCCTCCTTGGGACAGTAGTTCATCCTGCATCCCTCCCTGGCCTGGGACACACCAGGACTGCAAGAATGTTTGCGGAGCAGCTTTACCAAAGGTAAAAAATACATTCATTGGGTTGAATGAAGAATGTATGTACACGTTAGCCTCATTCAATCTTTACTTACCAAATTTTACCTTACGGTGGTATATAAAATTCAAATCTAAAAAACCCAAGACCATACTAAAACTTCAGCACCCAGATTATTCTGTTTTTTGTTTGTTTGTTTGTTTGTTTTGTTTTGTTTTTTGTTGAGTTGGGATCTGGTTCTATCAAATGAATAGCATCTTGTCACCAACTCATTGTTGATGGGTCATACTTTGAGTAGACCAGGTTGAAGTGAGAGGGACTTTGACTTCTGAGTAGAACATTATTGAAAGATGTATAATTGTTTTTATTTCCTGACTAAGTATGATCGTCAAAAGTGGACTTTTTTTTTAAACATATATTGTGTGCAAATTTGCTATATGCATTCATGTGTATTGTTTCATTTAATCTCTGCAATGACCCTAAAAAAAAAATCATTGTGCCCTTCATATTTTGGATGATAAACTGAGGCGAGAAAGAATAAGTGAATTTTTCTTTTTCTTTTTTCTTTTTTAATATTTCAAAGCCCATATTATTTCATATCACTGGGGAAATAGCAGGACATTTATGTTACCTTTAAAGGTAACAATATTTAGAAAGATTTCTAATTTGTTTCTTTTCATTAATATTTAACAGAAAAGGTGTGGTATTTCCTTTGGAAAAAAATAGGTAATGGAAGGTTATATTTCCATATATGCACATACCTTTTTTCATTGAACGAAAAACAATCTCTTCATCAATCCCTCCTTTATTACTCTCGTGTGCGATGATACATTTTTGTTCTTTAGCCAATGACTCTCTAGCCACGGTCAGCCAGCTGAATTTCATGTATGTGTCCTTAATCTTCATGGTGTCTCCCTGCTGGGATTTCAGAATTGTTTTGCCATCCTTTTCTTTCCAATGTATCTTGATAACTTCGGGGAAAAAATTCTCAAGAAGACAAATATATGTACCGGACATGTGGAATTTTATTTCAGCAAGTGAAGGGAAAAAAATTATGGGCTTGGGGAATATGTCTGCATCAAGGCTTTTGTCTGTAGGGGAAAATAGAATAGCAATTAAAAACATTATTAGAGAAATACAAACATCGTGTGGTTTGGAACTCCTAGCACAGAGTGAAATGAGGGGGGGATTTGCTCTAGAATTAGTGCTTATCATGGTCTTTCATCCACAGTGGGTTATGAGGTATTGATTGTTCTTATTTTCAGTGGGAAAACAGATTCAAGAAGTCATATAACTTGCCCAAAGTCACAGCTAGTAAGCATTAGAGTCTGGATTAAAATGTGAGATTTTTTGAAACAGTACATGCTCACTTTTTGAATGGGTTCTACTAACATGTATTTGGCCATCTATCAAGTTGACATTTAACTCTTCAAATATGGATCCCATGCCCACTTTGAAGTAGTGGAGATCTCCTTCTTAATTCCTGATTTTATAAAATATCTCAATCTCACATCTGAACGACTCCAGGGTTTTAAGTAAGACAATGTTTAAAACTGTACTTCCCAATTATTTTTAATGCCTTGAATTTAGAAGCAAAGGGGCAGTATTTCAAAACTGCTATTGGAAAGCTTATTATTTTCAGGAATGCTTTTATATTAACCTTATCAAGTAACACACTTTTCAGAATTTTGTTTTGTTTTGGAAAATGTTCATTGAAAACACATTTTACATTGGAATTTCATTTGTATTTTAGGTATAACTAAGAAGACACCCTAAGAAGACACACTGAAGAATTTGGACTCTCAGCATCTCCCCTCAAAGTTGAATCTGCTCTAGAACACTGCTAAACATTTTTAGAATGCCATAATATTCTGTAATTTCACCTGCTGAATAAAACAGATATATAACTAGTAGTATAAAAGTTATGATTCCAGACTTTCTTGAAATAATGTCAAAATATTTAACAAAACATCATAGTTTTAAAGGATGTGTCACCTGAATGTTGGTATGTTACTTGATTATACATTTACTATTAATTTAATGATTGAAATTACAAATGTTAGAAACATTTTAAAATTGATTTCCAAATGAAATTCAAGTACTTTTCTGATATTCTCTTTGGGCTAGTTTGGAGTTAGTTTAATAATTCAATTTCTTAAGGAGAGAGGAGTTGGATTTCTCATTTAAGAAGAGAAGGAAAAAGTTCTTTTTGGGGGGGTTCTTAATATTGTTTTTTTTTTTTTTTTCAAAAAAAATTCATGAGAATTTCTACCTTTGTAGCAAAGCTCCTGATTTCCATATTAATTCAGTAAGCAAACAATGAGTTCTTATTCATGGTATAAGTAGAATTAGATGATAACGTACTTAAGTTTATACATCTTGCTTGCAGTGCAAATAGTATTTTATTGATTATAATAGTAAGACACTGTATATTGCTCCAACCATACACTTTGTTTTTAATTTAAAAAGCATGTTAAAAATTAATTTTTCAACTGCACATGATAGTTATGTAATTTTAACCTCCACTCAAATATTAAGGAATCTAATTTTCATCTTAGAAACTTTGTATTTTTTTAAATAAGAATACTTCTGATTCATTATAGTAAAGAAATTGAAAATCAAGTGATGAAACTTGAAAAGTTTCTGGATAGTAACACACTGTTTTTTATCTTCTGTCCCTTTTCTTCATTTAGATTCTTGGTGTTTTATTCTTTGGATAAAATGTGTCTTGAACTTCCACAATTTTCTCAGTAGAATAGTTAACTGAGCATTATTTAATTCGATTGCTAGAATACACATTCATTATGCAGTCAGTTGGAAAAAAAGAGACCAGAACCTTGTTTTTCAGTTTAGGAATTCATATGTGCCTATCATCACAACCACTAAGAAAAGCAAAATATATACTTTCTTTCATTTTTTTCAATGTTTTACCGCCTTTGTGAAAATTCTTGAAAACTTTTATTTGTGCAGACCCAGTATGCTAGAAACTTCCCTGTGAGATGTTCTCCCTCATTCAGGCAAAATTTCATCTCTGAGGCTAGCGAAGAATGAACAAATTTAGTAGATTGAATTTAGGGGGGAAAAAACTTAGCTTATACATTCTTGAATATGTTTACATAGTTAAGTATTTTGATACTTGATATTAGTCATCCTCTGACAAATGAAAGTTTAGCAATTTTTTGTTCTTTTCCATTGGTTATTTTTGAAATCAAATAAATAAGATGTATAAGCCTCTTTACAAAACTTTCAACACAAAAATCCCAAATTACCCTAAGATCTTAGAAACCCTCAGTTGTTGCAGCTAGTTAGCTCCTTGCTAATATCCTCCATGCTAGGTCAAGCAGCAATTACCCCCAAGGACTGGGATGGAATTTCCTACCTCTCCAAGGATCCTGCTGCTATTTGTGACCAAACTGGGACCAAAGCCTAGAATTCTTTTTTTTTTTAAATTTTTTAATTTTAGGTTTTATTTATTTTATAATCTTATTTATTTTCTTTATTTTTTATTTCTTTTCAGCGTAACAGTATTCATATTTTTTGCACCACACCCAGTGCATTCTGAGCCAGCACCAGCACCTAGTATGTGGCGCCTGCATTGCCAGCCTCCCCTCCCTACCTTATACTGAAGAATGTAAAGAAATTTACCTGTAACCCTGAGCTTTGTGCCAGGACCAAACACTTTGATTCTGCTCCAGCCATACTAATCTCACCTGAAAAACTTTTACATCAATCTCTCTGTGCCTCTTTTAAAATTGTGCCCACATTTTTTTTTCAGTATTTACATAAATTTATAAAAATGGACCTTGTTAACATAAAACAAAGATAAAGCTCAAGCAAAATCACATTAGATATGAATGCAGTTGAGAATGGAAGAACTGACCCCTCTCTGCCTGGACAGCTTGGTTCTGTCTTTTCCAGCTCATTCACATGAGTTGGGGAGTATGATTTTACTTTTCCTCACCATTTTCTTGACCCTTAGCTATCTCTTCCTTTAAAGGGTTTTCTTGTGAGATATCACTTCTTTTACTAGAAATAACTTACAGCTATTATTTATTTTGTTTTAAAAGAGGAGCAAAAAGTATTTAATAAATGAATGTCCAATGTTTTTGCAGATTTTTTTTTCTTTCTCCATATTGAGGGGTATTTTGTTTGACTGTAAAGTAAGCTCTTTCCAGAATGCAATCCCCACTAATTAGAGACGAGATGAGTTGTTACAGAGTCCTGTAACATATTTATTCTTGAAAGACTGCCTCTCTGAACTCGAAATTGCCCCCTAATAAATTCCAGGGTATTGGTTTACAATTCAGAACTGCTCATGAGGATAATTGATGTTCTATTGTCATTTACCGTAAGAGTTGGTTTTTTTTTTTTTTTTGCACTGCTGTTAAAAATGAGATCAAATGTGATCACATACATTTTGCAGGTTATTAAAGAAAGGAACACTATTCATTAAGAAAGGAACACTATTAATACCAGAGGCACTTAATCAAAGCATTTCTCATTTAAGTGACCAATTAGAAGAAAACCATTTTGGATCCCAGCGGCCAGGGATAGAGCCTTGCATCAGGCTCCCTGCTCATTGGAGAACCTGCTTCTTTTCTCTCTCTCCGTCTGCAGCTCCCCCTGCTTGTGTGCTCACTCTTTCTCTCTCTATTTGTCAAATAAACAAATAAAATTTTTTAAAAAGAAGAAAAACATTTTGAACCAATAAGTCACACCAATGGTTTGCAGGCACAGTCTTAAAAATAATTTTAATTTCAAGCCTGAGTCTATTTTTGGGTGTGTATGTATATTCTAAAAGTAGAATTTTAATCTGCTCATACACAGGGAAGTAAATAAACCATTTGCAAAGTAGTTTTATTTCCATATATAGTAACCAGTAGCTGCAAAATTGCTGTCCAGATGCTGAGGTGATATTACATTGTTTTTTTCTAAAAAACATCTCTTAGTTTACCATTTACAGGGTCAAAACAGAACAGAGTTACTTACCTGGGGGAGTTACTATGAGCTTAGTCCCTTGTGCAAATATCTTGATCCAGCCTGAGTTATCACACCAGTTAGAGGTTCTATAAAAAACCAGCCTTCTCTTGAGCTTCATGTCTGGACCAGCAGGTAGAAACCTTGTACTGGCAATTTGATTTTCTGCATTCCCCTGAAAGTCTTTGAATATAAGCTTCATAGCATCTGATATCTTATAAGTTTTCCTCAAATTAACTGACAACAATATCTGTTTTGCAAGGAGGCAGTAATCACAGAAACAATAGAAAACAAATAAAAAGAGCAAAAGAAAAAAAAACAGAGAGAGAGGGAGTAACTGGTCAACCAACTACTTACCTAAATTACCGGGAAAAGTATTCGGTCAATTAAGAGGTTTTGATTTCCAGGTATTCAATTGTGTGAAACTGCTTAGAGATGCGTCAAAGGAGAAGCCCCTCTGTTCTCACAAAAAACGATCCTGCTCCGTTAGCAGTTTGGGATTGTATTTCTAAAGGAGGAAACTCTTTAGTAAGCCAAAATGCAATTATATCAACAGATATCTGCTTGAGAATTGTTAACAATGTTCTTCATTTTGTGACCAGCTACTTTTATGACTTGGCAAAATTATTTTTTTTTTACCACATAATGCAAAATGAGAAATATAATTTGTGTAATGACATATTATTCCTGGAATGAAGGAATAAATTTGTAGAACTCTATCTTCCATGAAATAATAGATTCCTATTTAAACCAAAATTTTTGAAAACAAAACCCAGTTCTCTGATATGTTGAAAGAAAAAGCCTCTTGGAAGCTATTCTGTGATCTTCAGAAATGCACATGTAGCTCTGCCTGTGTGGTTAACTAGCTTTGGATAAGGTGTTTGTCACCCTCGGGACGCCACATCCCATTTGCTTTGTGGACATTGGGCTATGTATGTCCAAAGGGCTCTTCCTGTTCCCACAGCTTACGAACCTGTGATTAAGAGCAGGTTTGTTTGCTGTGGCTGCTCAAGTGAGAAAGGAGTTGAAGGTTAGTAATGGAGAAGGTTTTCCTGCAGGTCCCTTCTGAATTTGTGACATTGTGAGATCCCAGCGGGCACAATAGCAGGGGCTTCCTCAGACTCGAGGACATTAAAGATTATCAGGTTAAAAAACTCTGTTGTCTCTCTTACCTGTGTCCAAGCCAGAATTGGGCTGGTCTTACAGGTAATACTGGTTGAGCCATATAAGAGTCATTTCAAGGGCTCCCTTTCTTTTTATAGATACCATGCATAATAGCCTTCTCCAGGGAAACCCCAGACAGCTTGCAGCCCTACGTGCACTGTTCTTGCATGTCTTCAGTTAAAGGAAATTTAATCCTGAGAGTCTCATTTTGCTATCTACATTGTAAAGCAAAAGAGAAAATCAGAGATACTTGAACAAGTTGACAGTGGACATAAAAACATGGAAAGACAAAAATGGAATATAGTCAACCTATAAACTCAAGCCCAAGACACATGTATATCCATGGTGTTGGCACTGCCAATGACTTGTCAGAATTTTCTCCAAGATGGTCATGCATCAGAATTGGGGAGGCAGTGGCAGTCCTGTTCTTCAAAGGCAAGGAGAGGGAAGGAATGTTGGCTTTAGTACCAATGAAAGACCTCAGTATGATCTGTCTTAGTGTTACTATGTTCCTGGTATAAAGAACTATCAGAACTCAGAAGACCTCACCAAACACCCATGTTATAATAATTCTTTGTTATCTTCCCCTTGGGGACAACACTCTTGCATTGTCCTTTAGGTTTTGCTTCACACACACTATCTTTGAGCTCTTTTTCACTCTGAGTGAAAGTGTGGGGAGCTCTATGCTTATCATGAGAATTTGAAAAAAAAATCTTAATTCTATACAATAAATGAGACAATAATCCCACAACTTTATGCAGAAGTATGCACGTTTTATAGATCAGTAGTTTGTAGAAAGTTCTCAAAGTTTGGTGAATATTAAAAATTACAGGAGTTGGGGTGCCTGGGTGGATTAAAGCCTCTGCCTTTGGCTCAAGTCATGATCCTAGGGTTCTGGGATCAAGCCCTACATCCGGCTCTTTGTTCAGCAGGGAGCCTGCTTCCCCCCTGCCTCCGCCTACTTGTGATCTCTGTCTGTCAAATAAATAAAATCTTAAAACGTTACTGTAGTTATTGCTTTAGAGGTTATTACATTTCTACACTCTAGTGTGAATGAAGAAAAATCTTGGAGTAAAAATGTCCTTTGATTTACTATCTTTGACTCTTCTATTCACAAATCTTAGCTTTTCAAAATAAAGCAAACTTTACTGTTTGGAGGACAGAAAGTGGGACTTTCAAAGAGTCCCCTGAGTTTCTGTGTTAACTGAGATGGCTCAGTGAAGCAGGTCAATTGTAATGGAAAGGACACTGTGATGTGTTGATCCTGTGCTAGAACTATCCTGTATACAACTTTCTTCTGTCCCCAGCAACCCTAGGAGAAAGATTGTGTAACTTTCCTGGATTGTGTCAGTTAAGTGGCTGAGTAGGAATTTGGAATTCAGATTTCTCTCTGTCTTTCCTTCCTTTTTCCTTTCTTCTTCCTCCCTCCCTCCCTCCCTCCCTGCTTTTCTCCCTCCCTCTCTCTCCCTTGCTTTTTCTCTCCTTCCCTCCCTCCACTCCCTTCCTCCCTTCTTTCCTCCCTCACTCCCTTCCTTCTTCCCTCCCTCCCTCCTTCTGTCTCTCCCTCCTTACTACACCCTCCCTCCCTCACCTTTCCTTCCTTCCTTCCACCCTCCCTCCCTCTGTCCCTCCCTCCCTACTATGCCCTCCCTCCCTCAACCTACCTCCCTCTTTCCTTCCTTCCTTCCTGACACTCTCTCCCCTTTTATCATTCTTCCTTTACTTTACTCTTTCTTTCTTTCCTTTCTTTCTTTCTTTCTTTCTTTCTTTCTTTCTTTCTTTCTCTCTTTCTTTCTTCTCTCTTTTCTTTCCTTCCTTCCTTCCTTAGCACACCATTTTGCACATTAAGGTTGGCTTCTTTCCCAAGAATCTTCTAATATATGCAGAAATAAAAAAAAATCAGAACTAACAAAAGCCAGGCTAGGCCCCAGAGAGGTAAATAGATGATAACTTGTCCTAACTGAAAGAAACATCATAGATTGGGTCTGAAGGTCCTAGGTCAGACCTTGCTGAGGACACAGATGCAGGAGAAAATTCCTGTATACACATTAGTCAGGTCCCTCTGGGAGGTAGAAAGGGGCATGCAAATGTTTGCAAGGGTGTGAAAGTGTGGGAGGACTTTTGTTCCATGGCCATGGAGCACTTCCATATAGTGTTTCCCAACAAACACAGTAATCCAGCCCAGTATCTGCTTCATTAACTCCATGTATCCTGAGACTCACTGGTAAATCCCTCTGTTGTTTCCTGGCTTCAAATCTTTCCTCACTAACACCTTGCTCATGGACCACATTTTCATTTGCAGGAATATACAGAATGCAGAATGGATTTAAGAGGTTGGTGTGGTTTCTGTTGGAGCTAGGGTTATAAACATTCTTCTTTAAGACACCCATTTTTAATATGGCATTCTAAAAATGGTGTGTTTCCTTGTTTCTTGATAATGGATGACATGAGTTGTGTTATTAAAATACACGCATTTGTATCTGAAAGAAAACAAAAACAACAATTAGCAAAATTTTGACATTTGTTAAAATAGTACACATTTTTCTCTTAAGGAAAAGCTTGGGATCTGAGGTTCACATTTTTTTTTTCCTGAAGAATTCAATGTCATGGTGAAATTTGCCAGCTTAGTTTGAATGATCCTATGGACTTTCTTCTGCCCACATGGGCTGACTTGATTGTGCATGCTTTCTATTAGCTTTCTTCACTGAGTAAAATCTCCCATGGGTAAAGCCACCCACAACTCCACAGGGAGGCCACCAGGATGACCTGTAGTGGGAGCAGCATCCTGTCAGCTCTTCTCAGGAGAGATGGTTGAATATTGGGCTGATCACAGAGCAAGTCTGACTGACGTAGTAAGAGGAAGTGGTGCTCTGAACACATAAGCTAAGACACAGAGACTGCAGAGAAAGGGGCCCACAGTATTTACCACAAAACATCCTGCAGAATACGGTTACTACTCCCTTTATCAGCAGATTTCTCTCTTCACTGTGTGACTGTTACCATCCAATGATATTAGTGTAAAGAGGCTATTTTCTTGTTATAGTAATACAGTCCTTTATTGATTCAAATCAGAGAGTGGGAGAGGGAGAGAGACAGATGGGAAGAGTTCTTACAGTTCTCTTCTTCTATGAATTATGATTATCTGCTCTCTCTCTCTTTCTGACTCTGTCTCTCTCTCTTCATATGTCCTTCCATTGCAGTTTGGGTAATTTCTGTCCTAATGTTAACTAATTCTTTCCTCATATCTCTTAAATCTACTGGTAAGCCTTTCAGGGCATTCTTCTTTTCTGTAACTGTGTTTTTATTTCTTACCTTTAATTTGGATGTTTCCATCTCTCTACTAAAATTATCTGTCTAATCTTGAATACTGTTTACCTTTTCTATTAGATTAGAATCTTTAAGATATTAATCATAGTTATTTTGAATGCCCTGATAGTTCAATATCTGTGTCATGTCTCACTCTGTTCTGGTGACTGCTTTGTGTCCTCAGACTGTGTTTCTTCTTGACTTGTTGTATGCCTCTACATTTTAGGTTGGAAGGTAGAGGTTCTATGGTATAGTAGATACTGAGGTAAATATATTTTGTGCTTGGAAATGAGCACACCTTTTCCTCTAGGCCTTAATGTAGGGGTTTGTGTTAACTGGTCAGAAGTTAGACTGCATTTGAAGTTTTTTTTTTAAGACTCATGAGGGGAGACCCACCATGGTTGTGGCAGTGGTCACTGGCTAGAGCTCACAGCAGTGACCATCTGAGATTTCCCATGGCATTGGGAAGTTCTCACCACACTCACTTACTGGGTACAGTGATTTTTTAAAAAATAAGTAGATTAGAGTATTTGTACCAAAGCTCACAGTTATTGGCACTTGAAAAGCATATGCAAGCTTGTCAGCTAAGAGGTGGAGGAGAGTAGCAGAAGTAGATAATAGTTCTTAGTCCATATAAATATTTGTAGTAGTACAGAAGTGATATCCATTTTGACAAGTTAGTATGAGGTAGAGATTTTGTTTTAAACGTTTTCCTCCTACAAGAAATAAAATAAGACTTTATTTTACAGTTATAGTTTTTTAACCTAAATCTCTTGAGGATTAAACCTGTGTATCTTTGGAGGTCTTAAAATTTGATGCACACATATTGTAATATTAAATACCTTATATTATTCCTGAATGGAATGTGATACTTTTCGTTCTCTTCTCAACTAAGTAGGATCTGAAGAAAAAGCTGACAAAAAGCAGGACAGTGAAACACTATGCTTAGAACAGTTTTATAACTTATTTTAGTTGAAGTAATTGTATGAAACAAAGCAGTTAAAAATGGGCCATTTCTTTAAGTAGATTTAGGGTAAAATTCTTCAAGTAGATTTAAGGTAAAATTCAAAGAATATGAGTTCAGGTATGTAGCAGATTTGTTCTGTTCACATGGATTTAAGGTTTCCTGTTATTCATGTACAATTTCTTGCCACTTTTTTCTTTTTTAAAAGATTTTATTTATTTATTTACTTATTTGACCGTGAGAGACACAGCAAGAGAGGGAACACAGGCAGGGAGAGTGCAAGAGGGAGAAGCAGACTTGCTGCTGAGCAGGGAGCTCAATGCAGGGCTCTATCCCAGGACCCTGGGATCATGACCTGAGCTGGAGGAAGATGCTTCACGACTGAGCCACCCGGGTTCCCCAATTTCTGACAATTATTTTGCATTAGTGTGAATTTGTAAAGTACGAAAAAATAACTTTCTTTCTTTGTTTTATTGAGATAAAATTAACTTACAACATTATAAAGTTTCTGGAGTACATTACAATTCAGTATTTGTATACACTACAAAGTGATCACAACCATAACTCTTGTTACCACCCAAATACTACACCGTAAGATTGAGTTCATCTTTGTCTTTTTAGCCAGCATGTGTCCCTGTGAGTTGTTTTTCACATGTGTGCTAGGATGGTAGCAGTCCTATGGGATTCAGGTACCATTAGTATTTTGGTCTACCCCTGAGCACATGGAATTAGCATGGTGAGTCACTGTCCCAGGCAGCACAGCTGGCAAGTGGCAGAGCTGGGACTCAGACCCACCCAATCTGGTACCAGGGTTCATCCTGGCCCTGCACCCAGATGTCTCACAAGTGCTGCGGAGCTTCCAAGATGAAACATGTGGTCCAATGAGCGCAATAACTCGATGGGCCACAAGATGGGGCCTTTTGTTCAGTTCCTTCAAATCATCAAGCAAATCTCTTCAACCTTTGAAATGCCCACAAATAAAAACAAAGTGAATTATAGTAGCAACAGCTCTACCTAATTATGTGAGGATAGAAAGAAAGTGGTGACTGTCTCAGAGCAGTGGAGGGGCCTGTACAGGGGGGACTGCAAGTGGGATCCATGCCTGCACCTGCAGGGCTCCACAAGCTCTGGCCGAGCTTTCCTTATCAGTGGTTGAGATACAGCAGAGATGGGAGCAAAATAATAATAAAATCCTTAAATACTTTAAAACAAATTCTTGTGTGGCCACACTCAGGTCTTTTTGTGTCCTAACAGCCCATCTTTAGCACACAGACTTTCTCATAAAAACATAAGGCAAAGTGTACCATTTTCCCTTTAACTGTACATTTTAAATAATTTTGTATTCTCCCTTTTTCTAAGTGTGAAAATTCATCATTGAAAGTCACTGGAGGAAAAAAAAGGACTAGAGCTGGGGTCGTCCTATTGAAAGTTGAAGGCGACATCTGCTGCTGACTTGAATGATCATTAGTGAAGAATTTATTTATTGCAATACCTCTAGACCTTGTGCCAGATTATGTATATTTACGACCTGCCTGTGGTTGGTAAGATAATGTGATGATACATCTATGTTCCATGAGACTGAATCTGATCTATTCATGAATAGTTGGAGCAAAGTCTTCTGCTATATTCCCAATTAAAAAACTTCTTAATATATTAGAATAACAGTTTTTTTTAATTACACAAAATATCTTTCTTTTTAAAGATTTATTTATTTATTTAAAGTGAGCAAAAGAACATGTGCGTGAGAACAAGGAAGAGGAGAGGGGGGAGGGTCAGCGGTTGAGAGAGTCTTTAAGCAGACTCTGAACTGAGCTGGAGCCCAGCACAGGGCTCTATCTCACAGCACTAAGACCAAGACCTGAGTCTAGAGTGGGACAGTTAGCCAATTGTGCCACCCAGGCACCCTAAGAAAGTATCTTTTTAATTTGATATGCAAAATGGAATTTTTTTAAAAGATTTTATTTATTTGACAGAGAGAGAGATCACAAGTAGGCAGAGAGTGAGGGGGAAGAAGGCTCCCTGCCGAGCAGAGAGCCAGACGCGGGACTCGATCCCAGGACCCTGAGATCATGACCTGAGCCAAAGGCAGAGGTCTTAACCCACTGAGCCACCCAGGCGCCCCCAAAGTGGAATTTTTTTTATGGCTCAGATTTCTTTTGTATTTTTTTTAATTTTTTAAATTTATTTTCAGCGTAACAGTATTCACTGTTTTTGTACCACACCCAGTGCTCCATGCAATCCGTGCCCTCTCCAATACACACCACCTGGTTTCCCCCAACCTCCCACGCCCCACCCCTTCAAAACCCTCAGATTGTTTTTCAGAGTCCATAGTCTCTCATGGTTCATCTGCCCTTCCAATTTCCCCCAACTCCCTTCTCCTCTCTAACTCCCCTTGTCCTCCATGC